CTTCTAGCATACCAATTAGCAATAGGAGTCAAGTGACGATGCTCAGTTGTTCCTCAACACACACGAGCAGCTAGTGAAAGTGCAGCCCCTTAACACAGCCCCTGGGGAAAAGGGAAGGGGGGAGGCAGGGTCAGAACAGGCTGCAGAGACTAGAAGTGACCTTTGTGCTGGAGGAAGTATTGCCTATGAGTGAAACGCAGCAGACCACAGTTCTGACTTATGCTGGGTTTCCCCCTCCTCTACAACTCTAAAGTAGGTCACTTCCTTTCTCTTTAGCAGAGTTTCCTCGTCTTTTTGGTACAGATACTAACTTCTGCCAGAACTAAGATGTGATCTGATAATAAGCACTGTAGCCTATAGAGCTCAGAGAGACACTTGAGAGATAAGAGGTGCTTGAAACAAAAACCCACACTAATTTCCTTCATAAACCAGTAATACTGCTGGATTTTGAACGATGGGTTGCAACTCCTGTGCATCCCACACACACCGCTTTCTCTTTAGCTGAGAAACCTAAATGCAGCCCTAGAAAGGATATCTTGGTCACCAAGTTCATCAAAATAGATTCGCACAACCCCTTCCATAAACCAATAAAGAACTATCTTCTAAATGTTACTCTTGCCTTCTCCAAGGGACAAGCTGTTTCTTCCTTCATAGCTGAGTATCTGGAGTAATTTCAAGTCTCTGTGTCTAGAATGTCCTAAATATGGTCAGAAATTATACCAAGATTATGCTTGGATTTACAAGATTGAGATTATATTCAACTTTGAAATTATGAAGCCACCTCCCACTGAAGTGCCCAAGTGCAGGTGTGTCAGATTTATAATGCAGTTATTCATGAGCATACAAAAGATATGCAGACACTGCTTCAGCTGACAGATACTAGCCTTTGCTAGAATAAGAAAACTGCAGGCAAGCAAAGAAAATCATTACATATTGTGTTTTAGTTTCTTCATCAGTCTGAAATGTTCTTTGAGCCAAGGTATCCGGGATCTTTTCTGTTATCTGTTCTGCTTATGACAAAGCATCCTTTCCTTTGTGCTTGGTTAATATTCTAACTAAGCAGGCCTCCTGCTACAAAACCACATACTGCCACTCCCCACACGAAACAGCTTCAAAAGTCATGTCATATTCAGTCTTTCTTGTTTGGAAGGTCAATACCAAATCACAGAAATATCAGTATTTTCACATCTTTGTTCTGAATTTGGCAATTCTCCACTACCCAAATCGTACCTCTTTGTGGAGCTGAAGCAACAAGATTTTTCTCCTAAGATGAAAACATAACAATCAACATCCAAGAGGCACAAGAGCCCAAGCAACAAAACAGTCCTGAAGTAGCAAGACATTTCCCCTCATAGAAGCAGCTAAAATAAATTAAGCAAAAATAATCAGTCAGTGTGTTCACAGACTCAGGAACCAAAGTCTACAACAGTACCTGGATCACAGGAGACCCCAAGTCACAGAGACGGCTGTAGCCACAGCTAGAGCAGGAACTGACGGCACTGTGCTGAGCTGAAATTAGGCTCCATGAGCCAGGGTGTGGGGGAGGCCCCAGCTGAGGCTGATTGTGGCCATTAAAGCCAATTAGTGCCCCAAGGCCCTGACAAATGAGCTCCTTCTTGAAAACTCCAGAGTTAAATCCCTGCTAATGCTGATGATTCCAGTGTCTTGTATGGGATTGCAGCTCCTGATAGAAGAATCACTGGGTGGGTGAAAATAATGCCTCTTGAAAACTGGAATTAGTCTTACTGCCTGATGATCCAGCAGATCTCAAGGGACCCACTATGCCAATAACTGACTAGGTCTTTTCTAGATTTTCTACAACCTGCAGAAATTCAAAAATAGTAGACACATAGTTTCTATCCAATCATGAGTCAGAAGACTCCTCCTTGTAATTTAATAGGCATACTGAAATTCTCACTGTTGTGCAGTTTTGCCCCTTACGAGAAGTAGTGAAAAACTCTTCCCCTGGTGTTCAGGTCTATAAGGAAAAAATCTATGCAGCACCAACAGTGCAGCCTGGCTGCAGGGACTGTGATGGTTCATCAGAGGTGACAAAGTGCCACTGTGCAGCAGTAATGTCCTGCAGAGCATTACCTGGATATGAGGGGAACCCTGCCAGTAGTAGGTGTCCACAGTGAGGAGATGGTGCAACACCAAGAGGGTCAAAAAATGACAGGGTGGTTAAAAGGGAAATCTGTCCTCAGGAACACATCACCTGCAGAGCACCTGCTACCTCTTCTAAACATCACCTCTTCTCTTCTCTTCCCTTCCCTTCCCTTCCCTTCCCTTCCCTTCCCTTCCCTTCCCTTCCCTTCTCTCAGAAACGGGTAGTTTCCAGCCTGAACCAACCGAAGTAATTGGACAAAAAAAATATTTTATGGGAGTAGTCAGGAAAACTAGTGCTCCATGTCTCAACTCTCATGAGTGTAAAAGCAAGCCAAAATGCAAAAAGCTTTGAGCAGTGTGTGTCTGGGTTGCTTAAAACTTTTCCTCTCCTTTCAGCCAGTAATTTATGAAAACATATTTGAGGAAATAGTTAAACTGAAATACTGTATTCTCCCAGGTGCCCATCATTATGTGCAAATCTGCTTTATTGACAAGACTGGATGTTCTGGTGAACTGAGTAGGTTGAATACAGTTTGAATCTGTGAGTTTACGCTGTTTGTCCTCAGATCATCCACCACCTGCATTCAGCCTTGGCAGTGTCCTGCTTTCACAGCTCTACCTGGGGCCGTTTCCCTCAGGCCCAGACAGCAACTCACCTTGAGCTGCTCCTGTCACAAAGCCAGTCCTTCAACATACACACAGACAAGGCTCTTTTGCCAATGCCATTTCTGCCCAACTGCCACACTATTTTTCTCTCTTCAGACAGGACACTGCCTGTGGAAGGGGTTGCATGGTGCAGGCACTTGGAAGAGGAATGTCCACTTTACAGGCCTCCAATGCTCCAGAGCTGTGACTGCAGCTGGAGGTGACACACAGTGCAACAGCTCCACTGTGACAGCCCTTTCTTCAGAGGCACCTCCCAATTCCTGTCACTCTGACAATAGAGTTAACCCACCTGAAACTTTCCCAGGTCTAGGCGGTACATACATCTCCCCATCTCCCTTTTCTCTCATCTAGGAAGGGCATTTGGATTTACCTTTCCACTTACCTCTTCCCCCACCCTTATACTGTATGACAAACCCTTTCTACCTCATCCTTCAGCAAACATTCTGAGAATTTATGTTTACTTCAGCTTTAGTAAGTAGTGGATATGGAGGAAGAATAGATTGGAAGGCATTTTAACCAGCATGAAATTGCATACAAGTTGGAGACCTTTCCCTCTGAAAGCTCATAGTGACACACGAGGTACGAGGTCCTTTTGATTCAAAGAAAATGCAAAATTCAGAAAAAAATTTACATTTTTACAGCAGTAGACCAAGCTACTTCTTTGTCCTACAGAATAGTCAGCCATTTCCTCCAGTCATTTTCCACCAGAAAGAAACTTAGACAGTGAGACTCAGAACAAAGACGAGCCTCTGAAAGTAGCCTAAGAACCGAGGAAACTGCAGGGGCTTGTAAATGTCACCAGGCAAGAGCGAAGGCAGCTTGTCCTGATGTAGGATATCTTGTAATTATCCATACTAAAGACCTTAATCTTAAGTGGTTTGATCTGCTCAGGGGATAAACTGAACCAGTATGCTTACACAGTTGAGTTAATCTCTTTATGCACTGGGATTTGTTATGACTGTCATTCGTCTCTAAGACTTTTTAGTTCCATGCACACATATGGCAATGGGGTGGGAAAGCTGATAACTATTCACTCTCAGGGCAGTCACTGAGCTTCTGCTGGGCTGGAATACGTGACACTGACCTGTCCTGAGGAAACTCCTCTCATCCAGGTGTAAGGCAGGAGATCTTTAGGTCTGTTCCAAGCTTTGTATCAGCTCTGCAGCTTTCTGCTATTTTCCTCACTATCTTCTCCATCATCACCCTGGCTGGCTGTGACTCAGACTCATCCATTCTCCTCCATGCTTGGAAAACAGACACCAAAGAACATAGCTGGACACCAAGGAAATGAGTTGGTCTCCTTGGTGTTTTATGTGCAAATTGTGAGAATGTGCAGAGGAAAGCCAGGCCAAGTGCTGCGTTAAACGAAAGCAGCCAGGCTGCTCCAGAAGTGCCCAGCCCTGCTCAGTACGGGCACTTGCCAGGGCAAAGCCTATTCACCACAAGCAGGCCCTACAAATAACATTGGTGAGGCAGGGTTAATGATTCCTGCCCAGGACTGAGAATGTCTGGACTCTGAGACGCTGAAGGCACGGCCGTCAGGGAGGCTGCACTATCCAGAGCTGCCCGCAGTGTCCCAGCACCCAGGGAGCCGTTCCCCGGCACACCTGGAGCCACAGACGACTCCGTGTCCTCTGGGTTCTTACAGTCCAAGGAGCTTCCGCATCACGGGCAGTGCTGGAGGGGCAGTGCATGGCTTCAGCCCCCGTTATCTCCCGGGGCTGGGATCTCTGCTCCCCGCAGGCACCCCGGCCGCTGCCGCGTCTCCGTCTCTTGAAGAGGAGGGAGGCGCTCACAGCGCGCCGCTCCCCGACGGTGCAGCCAAGCACCTGCACGGCGCTGGGCGCTGCTCTACTCTTGGAGGCGGCTGGAGAGAGCAAACCCCTCAAGCCTCGCTTCGTGCTCTCAAGCGGGGGCAGTACTATCCCTTCCCTCGCTCCAAGGCGGGATCAGGAACCGGGGAACGACCCGGCGGGAGGGACCAACAGACCCGCTACGGCCCCGCAGCTCCCGCCGGGTGGCCAATCAGCGCCACGGGGGGGCGGGGCCACAGCACAGAAGCCAAACCCTTCTCGTCCTGCCCTGAGTGACAGCAGCAGTCACCAATCAGAACGCGGACAGCGCACCGCCCCGCTCCCTGCGCACGCTCCGGTGGTGGCCTCGTCTCCCGCCCGGCGGGGAGGGGAAGGGAGGCGGGACACGGGACGGGAGGCGGGCCGGCCCGCCTTCTCCTTCCCTCCCCGCCAGGCCGGCCTCACTGGGTGCAATGTTTTGCCGGAGCGCGGGCCGGGCCCTCCGGGCTCTGGCGCTGCTGCAGTTGCAGCCGCCCGCCCGGGCAGCGCCGCTCACGGCCCGGGGACCGGCCGCCTGCTACGGGTAAAATCCACAGCCGCCTCTTCTCCCTTTCCCCAGCTCCCTCCTCGCTTCCCGCGGCTTGGGGAAGGGGCTGTTTGTCAGCCAGGCGGCGGGATGGACGAAGCGTGTTAGCAGAGGGGGTGGCGCAGCGGATCGGGAGGGTGACAAGGTGACAAAGCGGGGACTCGGGCCGTGTCCTGAGGAGCCTGTTCCTGCTTTCCCTGCAGGATCCCTAAGGATCCGTACCAGGGCCCCGCAGGGCAGGACGTGCCCTGACCGCCTGCCCTCGGCCACCTGCTGCTGGTAAGGGGCTCCCTGGAGGTCGCCAAGAGAGCACATGGATCTAATCTAGATCATGCCGCTTGTTCCGCAGAGAAAAACTGACACAGTGCTGCCTGTTTCCCTTGCACAGATAAATAGCAGGTCACATTCCAGCACAGCTGGAACAGGGGTAGTTCCCAGATTAAGCTGCGCTCCTGCAGAGTACGAGGTGAAGCACAAGATCTGCCCACTCTGCATCTGTGCTGCCTTGGTAAACAAAGGCAGTATGTATCCAGTGCTCCTCAAGGAGTTATACACCTTAACGTTACTGATTCGAAATATCACGGTGGGTTTTTTGTTTTGTTTTACCAGAGTTTCCAATTCTGTCAACCAAAAAAAAAAACATTCTTTGCAAAAACTTAACAAAAGTGAAGTCATCCTGCTGACAAGCAAGCTGATGAAGTGATTTCAAACTCACAGAAATTTCGTATTGGGAGGACTAACACCTTAGGTGTTGCCAGTTCCAATACAATTTCTCAGTGCATAAAAAACCCAAGTAATTTGTTGTTAGTCCAAAAAGTATTGAAAATACCCTCCTGCATTTCAGTGGACTTCACACCGAGGCATAATCCAAGAACGGAAAAGCATCACAGACTCAGCAAAATTCTCAAGGCCCCGATGTTAATAATTAATCCTAAAAACGTAGAACTATGTGAAAAAAAATTGGAATCAGGAAAGCAAAATATATAACTGTCTATTAAACTGTATGTTGCTAACCTGTTTTTAAGAAGGTAACAAGATGTTGATTATTTCTGTTTTGTTAGGAACTGAAAGTGGCTTGGCAATTATTAATCATAAGCAAAAAAGCCCAACACATAATTATTAAAATTTTATAAGAACAATGTGCTGATATACTGTGGCAAGAACTATAATAAAATACCTGTTAAAATTAATTACAAACTAAAAGATGGCATATGAAAAATAAAAAAAAAATAAATAAAAAAGTGAAAGTCAGTATTCAAAAAGGGGCTAAGGCAGCCATATGAGTGCTACATGCAGAATTTGAATTATGAGGTGTATAAACCACATCAAATGGACCATAAGGAAGTTTAGCATTACAAGCAAACTATCATTTGGATCCCATTAGCATAGCAATTCAGCAAAACTCACAAAGTCATAATTACACAATGAATTTCTTCATGCTGTACTCTTGCCACAGATCTGCATTTGTACTCCAGCTGTCAAATTGGATCTGCACATAAGGAGCTGATACTATTCTGCACAGTCACAGCTTTTATTGAGGCATGTGGCATGATGGGTTACATAGACCCAAGTTTTATGTAAAATCAAAATTGGCTTTGTGTTGAAGAGGTTCTGTGGTTTAACTGCCACCTATGTATCGGGAACATGAGTTTGCAAGCTATTGTTCATTTTTCTTCTAAAAAGGGTCTAAATTATTTGGATTGTTTTTACCTGTAATCCACCACTTTCAACTCTATACATACTCTAAGTAGTTCAGACTTTATATATTAAAATTAAATTGTTAACGAATTGCCCAGTGCTTATCAAGGAATAGAGATTGTTATTGTATCTAAGACTGGAAAACAACATGTCTCTATGCACATGAAATTCACAGTGATTGAACTCATGGGACATCAATATTTAATCTAGGTAAAATTATGGCTACTCAATAGGTAACCAAATTGCAAGATTTTTATCATATTAGCTTTAAATAAAATGAATTAGGCTGTTGAAAAGATGTTTTGCAACCATTAGGGCACAAATTTGCCTGGGAAAACAGATGTAATAGTTTGTACTGTTAAGAAGATACTTCGAATCTGTGCTACTTCTGCTTCTCACTAGGGGCTTGTATCTGGGCATGGTTTCTTGGGTCACTTTTTTGCATTTACACATATGTCCTGCTTTGTACTCAAGATTAGTGTAGGGGTTTAAGTGTTGGGGCTGAGACATAGCCTGTGCAGTTGGTTTCTGTGGTGCTTTTTTTGTGTGTGGATTTATTGCTCATGTGGTATTTTCCAATTAAGTGTTATATCCTGGTGAGATTACACTGACAGAAATATTATTATCACATTCTTCTTCTCTGCTCTTATCTCAGTGCAAAGTGGTTTTCATGAGGAACAGCAGCAATAGATTGTGGTTTCTCTGGCAGATGAAGAGGCTCGGTTTAGTAATAGCAAGGTGAACATGAGCCATGTTGAAAGTTATGCTGTGACAGAATGAGGTTTCTCCCCTCTAATGTATTTATTTCAATGTTTCTGTAGCCATGTAAAGCTGCCTTTGTATATTCCTGGTTGTACCATCAAGCCTTTAGCCCCTGGTTGTACCCCAAGCCTTTAGCCTAGGTAAGAATATACCTAGGTATATTAAGTATATTAAGCCTTTAGCCTAGGTGTGAATATATATCATAGTGGTCACAACTGAATAATTCTCTGCTCCTGAGAAGCTTTTTTAAATCTTCTATACACCCAAGGCAAGCAGCCCATTAAAATCTTATAGTGCTGTCATTAATATCTAAGAAAAGTAATTATTCTGTATTCCTGGAGTGACTAGGGAGTAATAAAAATTAACTCTCTGAATGTTTTCCTATTTCTCTTCTCTTTCCCTATCCCTAGTACTTCAATAACATCTGCCAAAATCCAAGTGAATGGAGTCCACCTGCATTATCAGCAAACAGGAGAAGGAAGCCATGCAGTTCTTCTGCTTCCAGGAATGCTAGGTTTGGAGATTTTATCTTCTTTGTAGAGCAACCACTCCTTTATCCATTTGGTCTCCAGCAAGAATGCACAAAAATATTTTGTAATGTTTTCAACACCTGATTATGGAGCATTGCCATTAAAAAAAAATTGCTACACTTAGAAGGGGAAATGCAGAGTTGTTGCCATCAGTTAACAGTTTTTAAAAGGTTTCATTTATCTTACCCAGTCACCTTTTATACAATGTCTTGACTTACCTAGTGGTCACTTGCACTTTTGGATTTAACTGTGCAAAGGTGGTGTCCAGGACTGGTGGCAAATAGCTACACAAGGTGGAAAATAACAGAAGGGGGAGAAAAAAATCAGGTCAGCTATATTTGTTACACAGAGTGAATTATGCATTCCTCTTTGGAAGCTGGATGGATCTCAGCTGAACTTATAGACATAATGTAACCCTTACAGTTTATTGTGAAAAATTCACTGTTAAAATTAATTTTTTGCTTAAAGATGTATTTTCACATTTTGTTTATTCAGGGCAACATCATTAACATTCTCATGGTTTTTTGAGTTGCACAGCAGGTTCTGCTAGCTAAGTGGTGTCTGTCCATTGAAAACACTGGTTTTGATATCAACCTTTTAAAATTAACACAGCCTATTTTTTCTGGGTTCTTGCAGTTTTAAAGGATCCATCAGACTTACCAACAGTTCATGGCAGGCTGTCAGTAGGACTGTTACTGTGCTCAGAGTTGGGCAAATGATTAATTGAATTGCTGGATAAGATGATAAAATGTCAAGAACTGAAGAGCAGGAAACGTTTGTTCTTCTTGGCAGCAATGTTTTCAAGTCTTCGTGGAGTGGTTCTTTCTTTCAAAGAATTCTGAAGGGGAGAGTGGAAAAAAATTAATACTAGTCATCCTTCAAGTATTTCAAAATATGAAAAATATATTTCAATCTATTAATTTTCAACAGCTTTTTAAACTAGCAATACTATTGCCAATACAAGCTCTTCAAACAGAAATAATGTATTTCTTCAGTTGTGAGCAATATTATTATTATTTATGATTATTTATCATTATTATGCATACATTGCTATCATCATAGCAGGCTGTATAAAGCCTTTTTTATAACTTAGACCTGCTAAGGGTATCTGAGGACTGATTTGTCCAAGTGAACAGAAAAAAAAAACCTTTTAAAATGCCTTTAAATGGCCTTTTTAATATAGCAAGAGATGTATTTCATATTTCAGCACATTAAATTTGAACAAGTTTTAATCAAATAGCATTTGATACTATTACCACATGACCACAATACAAACAACACAGACTGCAGTCTTACCTTCATGCTAGGTTACCTTCATTCATAGATAGCTTAGTGCAATAGACAGGAGTCCTTCATGTTTAAAACCTTTGAAGGTCTTTAATTAATAAGAGTAATTAATAAAAGAAATGGTTCTGCATCAGAAAAAAGGCTGTATTTGGCTTATTTTTACATACTAGAAAAATAAAATTATATAATTTTATGCTTCTGTGTCACCACAGTCTCCTCAGGCAACAAAGTATTTAAAGGTCAGCTTTAAGCACCAATAGAGATGCTTTATCAAATAATAACTGTCTGGCACAGTGCTTTTCACTTACAAATTTATAGCAAAATATTCCTGCTCTCTCAGTTTCATCTGTATTGCCCAGGTAATATGGATGGGCCATTAAATGCCCATATTTAAATCTGTCTAATATAAATCCCTACTCAGGTACCTTAGTTTCAGATACTGTATTTTATCATACATGAGACTGCTGTTCTTGATAACCTTTCATACCTACCAGAAAGGGTTTGCTCTGAAAGTACTGCAGATGCTTCTAAAGATTTTAGTTTTGGCACTTCCTGTCTAAGAGTGGCAATGAATACTGACAATTAAAGAGTACACTTGTTGGGTAATCTCTTATTTGGAATAAAGTTACAAGATTTCCCCAGTTTCCCTTTAGAGAATGTATACTATGTTTGCAGTATGGTGGTTAATAAAATTGAAAAATTATAATGTTTCAGGGAGTGGTCAAACTGATTTTGGACCGCAGCTTAAGTCTATGAATAAGCAACTTTTCACAGTTGTTGCTTGGGATCCTCGGGGTTATGGAAAGTCCATTCCTCCATCTCGAGACTTTCCTCCAGATTTCTTTGAGAGGGATGCAAAAGATGCTGTGGATCTTATGCAGGTAAATCTATTGTGAGATTTTTATTATTTCTTTTTTTTTTTTTAAGTTGTTTTCCTTAAATTTTGAGAAGGAGGAATGTTGTTTCCAGCAGACAGCAAATTATGAAAAGACTATACAAATGAAGGCTTAAAAGTGAGCATAAACACCCTATTCCAGGAAATATTTTCTTCTTCCACCTATTCTGCAAGATGCATAGAGGTTCAGCAGTAGGAATTAATATAGAGCAATATGACTTTATTCCAAGACCTTGCCCTAAGAGGTTTGCAGCCAAGAACCATATAAGTTTAGTTAAATGTGTGTATAGGAAACAAAATCTATGCAAAGTAATTTAGTTGAAGGGATTACCATACTGAAGGGCTCTTAGAAAATTTTCTATCAAATAGAATCTTGGCATTTTGCCTTGAGCAGCCCATTATAAGCAACATTTGATTCTAAAAATTAACTTGATGCTTTGCATTTTACAGCATATTACTGAAGTAATTTTTGTGGGAAATCAAAGGCTTCCTGTGACCATACCAAATCTTACTAATTAATACAGCTATTGTGGTTATAAATAATATGACCTAAAGCTGTTATTATTTATCCTTCTTGAAAAATCCTTCAGATTTTTTATTCAAATCTGTGTTTCTCTTTTATTCTGTCCTATAACTGCTGACACTATTTTCTGGTTTAGCTTTAGCTAATATTCTGGCATTTTTAAATTAGGATATACAGTCTCTTTGCTCATGTTAAGAAAATTGGCGAAGCATTAAAAATTCAAAAATATGAGGCAAGATTCTGACAGTCAGTCCAACTGTATTTCTATAATAAACAATAACCTTTCTGAAAACCCATCTGAAACTGGAAATGTGGCCTTCCAGGTGGATTCTGCATAGTGAAACAAAGTAAGTCTGACAGCAGAATCGGGATTAAGACACAGATTTGCCCTCTAACCATAAAAGCTATCTCTCTGTACTGTAAATCTTCAATTTCTTCTGCTACACTAGCAAAGAAAATAAAGATGCTGCCATGAATAGGTGACAAACTTGCAGTCTAAATGGTTGTCCCCCTTTCTTGTCTCTGATCAAATACTAATAAATGCATAATATTAAACAGACTTTCCCCAAAGGGAATGTAACCATGTAGCTTCCAGCCAAACAGAACAGCAGCCTACCAGTCTCTAGAGCTGCCAAAGCAAATGAGGCATAGCATCCTGTTTTTTTGAAGATGTTTCTCAATATAAGCATATAATAACAACTTACTAAAGTGTTTCCAAGCGTGGGAGACTAGCTGCTATTTTAGGATATTACAAAGGATAGCACAAATCCCAAGGAATCATTCCAACTATGATTTCAAGAATATAATGGTTTATATACATCATCCAGCCTACAATCAGCCAAAAAACACATCCATATGGGTGAGCTTTCAGAACCTTTTCTCTAGTCTCCTTCAGATTCTGGTGTCTCTGCTGGAACTGTGAGTGATGCAAGATTTCTGTGAAATAACAAAAGCTGAAATTCTGCAGAGTATTTAGGACCTTTATGCAGAAGACACCGTTCTGTATCTCTGTGTTCTGTGAAGGAGTTTACTTGAAATAAAAGGAGCATAATGCACCTGAGCCTACTTTGCTGTCCTCCGCCCCAATGTCTAGTGGTAGCAAAGTCAATAGCATTAAAACAATCATTAGGGAAATAATTAGTGTTGATATTTAAGAAGTTCTTACTCTTCAGAGCCACATTCCTAGCAAAAGGATGGCCCTGAGCTTTTGTACGTTTTTGTAGATCAACTGCAACTTTTGCTTCTGCTACACTCCCTGTAGTGCAGTGAAAACATACAGGCAGTGCAGAGTGATGTTGTATTGCAGCTCACTGCTGTATGTGCTCATTGGATTGCATTTCACAGAGGCCTGGATGGAGGAGGTGACTTCCAAAGAGATTTTTCTTCATTCACTGAGTAAAGGCAGCACAAAATCACCCATAAAACTCTGCTGTGCAATCAGTTATTTTTTCAGGTTATTGCCCATGTTACATTAGCGACCTGTACTGTAGATAGTTAGAAATTAAAGCAAGCAAAAGTGCACACCTTATTCAGCACATCTGTTACATCACATTGTTTTTCTGAAGGCTGCAAAGGATAAATTAAATTCCTCCTGCTGGAAAGGCATCCTGAGATACCCCAAAGAATGCATCAAGATAAAGGCTAGTAAACATGAGAAATACTGGAGGCAAATAGATCTCAAATAACCTGGCATGAAGAACAAAAATTTAATCAGCTATTCCATCCTTCAGCCAGCTTTGAGCTCCATCATTTGTTATTGGCAGCAGAGGAACAGTAGCAACATCAAAATTTAACCTTTACAAGCACTGCTGCCAACCCCCAAAATCTGCCAAGATACCAGGAGCCCTGGAGCAGCACATAGTGAAAGTTGGACTAAGTTGAACTACTTCTTCATCAGACCAGGGCCAACTTCTGATCAACTGCAAAAATTCAAAGTTCTCTTTTCTTGCTATGAGCTCTCACTTTACATGTCCCTTTTTTTCCTCTACCTCATTTATTTTCTGTTTAGTAATTACAGCTTTGCAGAGTGAAATCTAAAATTGGTGAAAACTACAGTGAGCAGAATAATGAAGATAAAGCCGAAACCATAAAAGCCTGATAGGGATAGAAGCCTGCTAAATATTGAGTTGATTAGTAAAGTTGTGACTCACTTGAGCATTAAGTTTACAAGCAAAGTAGAAACTTCTTTTTCTCCCTCTGTAGTTGTTTCTCTCATTGCCTGGATTTTTGCTTTCTTCTGTCACAACAAAGCGGGCCTGGACTTCCGACATCACCAAGCAGCAAAGCAACTCATTCAACTAACTTGCTCGTTTATCCTCCAAAAGTACAATACACTCCTTGATTACATCTAAAAGGTTGTAATTTCTGCAGAACAAAAGCAAAAAACACTGCAAAATATATTTTCTTGTGAATGAGTTCACAAACTGCAGTTCCTGTATGCAAAACATCAAGTACTGCTTAACCATTGAACCATTGGTTCACCATCATCCGTCTACAACCTTCAGATGAGTGCCTTTACCTTCCCCACTCTTTCTCCACTGAACATAACCCACACAAAATTCTCTCACCTGTGACTATCAGTACTCCCTATGACCTATAGTGATTATGAGGAAACAAGGTTTTCAAATTCTAGTAGAAATCATTATCATAGAATCACAGAACTGGAGTTGGAAGGGACCCATCAGGATCACAAGTCCAACTCCTGGCCCTGTGCAGGACACTCCAAGAGTCACACCATGTGCCTGAGAGCATTATCCAAATGCTTCTTGTACTCTGTCAGGCCTGGTGCTGCGATCACTGCCCTGGGGAGCTGTTCCAGTGCCCAACCACCCTCTGGGTGAAAAACCTTTTCCTGATATCCAACCTAAACCTCCCCCAACTCTTCCCATGCCATTCCCTTGGGTCCTGTCACTGGTCAGAATGAATTAAGGTCTTGGTTGTCATATTTTTTGCCTTAAGCCTTCCTTTTGAAGAAAGAGGAATTTAGATATTGATGTTTCAAATCGCAACTGGCCGTGAAGTAACATTTCAAACATACAAACTTCAGAAAATGTGAATAAGCAACTAAAATTTGATACAATCCTTTAGAAAATACTTTAAGCATTTTTGGTTTTTACCAAAAAGCAGGGTTTTTTTAAGCTCAGATAGCATCAATAAACCAGATCACTGGCTTCCATTTTTCAAATCTTACACTTTTCTTTTTCTTAAGTTTAGCTTAATCTTACCATCCACACTGTGATAGTCTTTGCCAGCTTTTACACGGATTCTTCAAGTCATCAGGCTCTCTGAAAAGGTCTATACTCTCCATTTTAAATCAGCTTTTCTTTTTTTGAAGGGCTTTTAAAAACCCAGCAAGAATCTAATAGGACTACTGTCCATTTCATTAAAGGGTTATAGAAAATTGAAATGGCAGGTGTAATTTCTTGTTTTCTAAATTTGATTTTTTAAAAGCATTTTTATGTATAGCAAGAAAATGATGCTTTCTAATTATAAAAACTAACTATAGTTCAACTACGTAGTGTTGTGCTTAAAACATTACAGTCCATTTTCAAGAAATATTTGACATTTGGCTGTAAAGACAGCTGATGATTTCCATATAACTTTCTTGTATGAATCAAGGCACTGAAGTTTAAGAAGTTCTCCTTGCTGGGGTGGAGTGATGGTGGAATTACAGCTCTCATTGCTGCTGCAAAGTACCCAAATCTTATCCACAAGCTGGTTGTCTGGGGAGCAAATGCCAGCGTTACTCAAGAGGATGTGAGAATTTACAATGGTATGTAAATGAATTCATTTACTTTCTACTTGACCCAAGGATCTTAGTCATGAGACAGCTAAGTGGAGACAGAGCTGAGGACACAGCAAACCTGAAGAGACATGACACAAAATTCACTGCATTGTGAGGTATAGGGATAGATTTAAGTTATAATGAGAAACTCCCTAACAATTACTCTAGGGGCAATATAATAGATTTTTTAACAAGCCCTTACCAACTTAGCCTGGTGAAAAGCAGAAGTTACAATAGCTTATCAGCAGTTTTCAGAAAGTCAGAGTTTTGTTGTTGTAATAAATTTCTAAAAATAAATTCCAAATAATGCTATCAAATTTCTTATCTCACATCTTGCACAACCTTTTTAAAACCAGATCCACAGATAATTACTGGGCTAGCTCATTACAGCTTTTGCCTCTAGGGGCTATATAATATAGACAGTAAGAAAATAAGTTCATAACTTACCTTTTAAGTTCAGGAAACAAATGAATCATTCAAGTAAATGTCCCAAGGTGTCTTTACCATTTGCATTCCTTCACAGTTAATTATTATCATTAGAAAACCTTTGCAAAGTAAAGAAATAGGGGACTTCTGATCCTTATTCCACTCATGTGAAATAGAATCTGAGATCACTGCTCTCTAGAATGAAAATTAGGAAGAAATGGCTGGTGAACTCAGAAAGGGGCCATATTTCCTGTTGAACGTAGAAATGAAAAGATTTAACCATGTCAGCTCCCAACAAATGTAACCCAGTATAATTTCATTTTAGTGACTGGAGTTTGATTTATACTAGCTGTTCAATCTCTCTTGCTTCAGCAAAATTACAAGTGTATGTATTGCACATCTGTATTTACCTCACCTATACTAAAACTAACTTGGTAGTAGCAGTAGTAATATATTTTTTAGTTCAGAAAGCAAAATGCTTTTTAGCTCTGTAAAATGCTTTATTTCTTTACATGCTTTTATAGTTATGATTTTTTGTTGTATAACTATGAAATGCACATCTCCTCCCTACACAACAGACTAAAATGTAAAAGAAAAATTAAAAAAAAAACCCCGAAAACAACAACAGAAAGTGCCCTATTTACATGGAGCACCCACTGAAATATTGTCCTTTGTAAATTGTTGCTTTCAACATCTCTCCCTGGCTGATAGAGCTCAGAGAGTAGCAGCACAAGTCTTCTACAGCTGGCTCGTCAGTGCATGTCAGCTGCATTGGAGGGTTTGGCAGGAAAGAAAGGTGTTGATTTGGTATCCGTGTCCTTTCAACATTGGGTTCTCCCTTCCCTTTTTAAATTAATGCCAGCCACAAGGATAAACCAGTAGATTCTATATGGGAAACCATTGTTCAGTAGCACCTAGCCTGGGGTGAGCAGACTCATTTCCAATCAGATGCTGTTATAAAATGCTCTCCGTCACTGCTACCTTTGTCATTTGGCTGGACAGGTTCTCTTTGTTAATTAACATCTCACTCCTTTCTTCCCTTAATTCCCTTTTGAAACCAATTAAAACCTTTGTTAGTGGCATATTTTCAGTTTGATGATTCAGTACTGTGCTGTTCTCTGCTGTGCCGACTTTTTCAGATTTTGTCACTACAAAGCTGTACAGCTGGAATGTAGTTTAATGAAAAGAACCCTTTTGAATAGCTAGTTTGTGAGCAGTACCAAAAATTTTAGAGGAAAAAAAAAATAGAAAAATCTGATAAATAAATAACTAAAATGTCAGATTATTTGTACAGTTTTAGCCAGCCTGCCATGAGTCACAGATCTCTATTGAGTCACTTGTTTTTGTGTAAAACTATGGCAAATGTACCATGATGTCAGCTTGCTGGAATGCCTTAGTAAGAGCTTCCTTCCTCTAAGAGTTAGTAGGAGCCATGGAAGAACTTCCATCCATGAGTTGATGCAAAAGGCTGAGGATATGAAAAAGAACTTCCAGGTCTAGAACACTGTTATGAAACAGTCCTATTTTTATACACAAGGTAGGCCTTGAACTTCTCTTGTGAAAGCCCTCCAGAAAGAAGCATCAGAAGTTTTAGGACTGAGTCCTTTGAATATTATGTTTTTTCTGGCTTTCCTTGTGACAAGGAAAATAATAACAAGATGTTCCTCTACAACTGAGAAGACCACAGCAGAGGTTGTACAACTGTCTTTTTACACTCTTTCCATACTATGAATTATTTGAAATATTCATTATAGTTTCAAGTCTGAAATACATATTTGCAGTCTGGTTTGAGAACTTCCCCATATTAGGTGTGGTTTGGACCTTTTTGCTGGAAAGGACATAACATATTTCAACTTTATTTTGTGCAGGCATCCGAGATGTTTCAAAATGGAGTGAAAAGGTCAGGAAACCACTGGAAGAGCTGTATGGCCATAAGTACTTTGCAGAAACCTGTGAGGCTTGGGTAGATGGAATATCACGCTTTGCTGAAAATTCAGATGGTAAGGCTTTCACAATATTGAACTGAGGCAAGTAGAGTAGCAGGCAGTTCTGGATAAAAAAAAATGTAACAGTACTTCTAGCAGCCAGTAAAAGAAGGACTCTGCATATGGCATTAAAAGCTGGGTCTGACTCACGCTCAGGAATAACACAATTACTCTGTAGATGGTTCACAGAACCAGAAAGGTACAAAGGAAAACATTTCTGGAAAACATCAGCTGCTGAGGTTCTCCTCTTGTTCCACCATAAAACTGCACTAATAAGTCATTGCTTTTGTGCAGACTAAATAGGAAGGATTCTGCTCAGGCAGAATCTTTCTCTCCTCTTCTGTCTCTGTGTCAAAGGATTATCTCTTGGTGACATAGTTAAGATGTACCAAAATTAAGGCATGCTCTTTTCACTTTTTGCGAAACAGAGCTGAAGAACTCTTTCAAACCTTGTAGCATGTGAGTTAAAAAAGAAGGGACTTCAGATTTTGATAACTCAAAGTTTAAAAAGCACATTTTAAAAACACTATTGAAGCAGCTCAGGTGTTTAAAAATAAAACAAAAACAAAACTACACAATATAGCTTTTTATCCCTGAAGATTTCTGCAGTTACTCTTCATAGACCTTTTCAGCCAGGGATACTATGCATAATAATTTGCAGTTCTATTTTGATTCAAAGTGAATTTGCTTTTAATTTGCCTAAAGCAGTAATTCATAATGTATTTAAAAAAAGAAGTTTGTAACTCATATACACATTTTTCTGTAACTGATAATGAAAGACAGAAGGTAATGTACATTAACAGGCAGCAGGTACTACAGGGAAAATATTCCTTCATGTCATATTTTTTCCATAAATTTTTGTATAGGATCAACACAGGACTAGGACTTTTCCTAGTAATGTGGTGTAACAAATTATATTCCAATTTTATTTTAGCTTTTCTGGAATCTCCTTAAAACTATTTTTTTCTGAAGTGCAAAGCCCAGGCTGGTGAATCTGTGGCTGTGACATCGCTTCACTGCCTTCACATGCCTCAGACACTGAGATAAAGTGACTGTGAAAAAGAAGCCACCAAGCAACATGTAACAAGGAGCTGAATTATCTAGATGCTGAAACTGGGTCAGATATTGGGAGAAGCCTAATGTTTGCTTCGAGAGATGAGCAGCTATCAGACTGCAGGATTTTTTCCTGGGGAAGACCAGTTTTCCAACTTAGATTACAGACCGGCCACTTTGCAATTAAACTTAAAACACTGTAACAAAGGCACAGATACAGCAGATATAAGAAAAGGTGTTAATAAAACCCATCAGAGATAAAGGGAGGACAGCAAACCCAATGATGGCCAAAACCTCAAGCTTTTTTAAAACTAGACTGTTTTCCCTGAATGAGACAGCTCTTAGTATAAAATACCATAAGAAATGAACTTTTAGAAAGAGCTAACAATTTGTGAAACTGAGTAAGTTGCATAAAGTTGCAACATCCAAGATTCTTCTTGCTGTTCCCATGCTTTTAGAGTAAATATAATTTAATGGTTTTAGTACAATACAGTTTTAGGACTGAAAACAAGGAAATAATAGTTTGACTGCCAACTATGTTCCTAGAAAAATAACCTAAATTTACTTGGAGCTTGTTCTGAAAAATAGTCAACATTTCTGCAGGTATTAGAGGACTATGGGTAAAATATTCTAAATGAAAATATTTAACCAGTAGAATTCCAAACAAAGGCTGCATAAATAACCAAATAATTGGAAAAACTGTGAGAGCCTCTGACTTTAGAGGTAAGGAAAATGTGCATGTATGAGCATTAATCTTGCAGCTGTAAGGTGACAATTGCAAATAGACAAAGTTATCCCAAAGAAAAACAGAAAATAAAGCCCATTGAGGATGTTTTGCCCAAAGATTGCTTTGCAAGAATGTGGGAAGTTAGGCAGTGAGTTTGAAAACTGGGTTACTAAGAAATGAGGGAAAAAAGGGGAGAAAATTCAGAAAAGTCTCCAAGTAAAACCATTAAAATTCCTTCTAATGAGATTAATGACTAGAAAACAAAATTATGAATGGGTGGGGAAAATAACTTTTGAATAGCTTTAGTACAATTCATATCAAATTATGCATTTGTGCTGAGTTTGCATGGCCAGGTTTTGGTACCAGGGGGGCTGCAGGGTGCCTAGAAGCTTCCTCTGTGTCTGGCAGGGCCAATGCCAGCCTGTTCCAAGATGGACATACCACTGGCCAAGGCGTGATGGCAGTAACAGCTCTGGGAAAACTGACTTAAGAAGGAAAAAAGAGTTACTGCAGCCAGAGAAGAGCAGGGTGAGAATAAGTGAGAGGAAAAACTATGCAGCCACCAAGGTTAGTGAAGAAGGAAGGGTAGGAGGTGCTCCAGGACCTGAGATTTCCCTGCTGCCCATGGTGCAGATCCTGGTGAGGCAGCTGTGCCCCTGAAGCCCATGGAGATCCACTGGGATGTAAGGATCCACCTGCAGCTCTTGGAGGAGCCCACACCAGAGCAGGTGGATGCCCAAGAGAGGGCTGTGTACCTGTGGGAAATCCATGCTGGAGTAGGCTCCTGCTGGGACCTGCAGAGCCATGGAGAGAGGAGCCCACACTGGAGCAGGTGTCCTGGTAGGACTTGTGGCCTGGTGGGGAACTTAGGCTGGAGCAGACTGTGCCTGAAGGACTGCACCCTGTGGAAAGATGACTCACCTTGCAGCAATTTGTGGGGAACCACTGTTTGTGGGATGGATCATGTTGGAGAAGTTCATGGAGAACTGTTTCCTGTGGGAGGGACCCCACACTGGAGCAGTGGAAGGACTCCCTGAGCAGCAGCAGGAACAACCTGTCATGAACTGACCTCAACCCCCACTCCCCATCTCCCTGCACCACAGAGAGCCAGAAGGTAGAACCCAGGAAGAAGCTTCTAAGATTTATTTTACTTCTCATGATCCTGCTCAGATTTTGTTAGTAATAAATTCAGTTAATATCCCTGAGCTGAGTCTGTTTTGCCCACAATGGTATTCAGTGGGTGCTCTCTCCTAGTCCTTATCTCAGCTTGGGAACCTTTTATTCTGTTTTCTCCCCCCTGTCCACTTGTGGAGGGAGTGATGGGGGGCTCAGGTAGTTGCTTGGCATCCAGCTGGGATCAGTCCATTAGAACATTGCAGACAGCAACGGGCCTGGGAGGTGCAACAGGTATGAGTGCAGCCTAAGTTAATTTGTTCCAAAGAAGTAGCAAATCTTGTAACCTGACAACTGCTGTATCAAAATGTAGGTTAAGGTGAGGGCCATAAAACTCTAAGGCTGAGAAGAACAAAGCTGGGAATGAGATTCATGTATCGGCTTTGAAGAGTCAAAGGGAGCCTGGGGGAAATGTGGAACAGAAGTACTTAATTCTCTGTATCCTTTTGTGCTAGTATCCATTAATAGAGCAAATTGCAGTGAAGTAAGATTTTGGAGAAAGAGATGTTAATTATAGTCCTGCTTACATAGTTCTGTAGATTAATCACACACAATCCACAAGGAGAGGCAATAGCTAGAGCCCAATGGAGTTCGGAGCCCTTTATGGAAGCAGTTTCATCTTTGATACAATTCTAAACCAAAGTGTGACCTTCGTTTGTTTTCTCCCTAGGTAGCATCTGCCAGCAGTTGCTGCCAGATATTAAATGTCCCACATTTATAATTCATGGTGAGAAGGACCCTTTGGTCCCACAAGCTCATGCAGAATACATTCATAAGCACATCAAAGGCTCTCGGTAAGTTAAAAGATGGAATTTTTATAAATCCTTGTTTATAAAAACAAGGGCTGAAGAAATGTAGTTCAAAGTCACTGTTTAAGAAAAAGTATTTGGACAGGTTCTCTCTGCCACACAGAGAGCTATTCTAAACTTCCCTAGCAAATTACAATGCAAATTGGGTAGCTGGACATTCCTTGCAATATAAAAAGTACAGTATTTTAATAAGCTCCTTCCTAAAGCCCTCTGAGCGAAACCAAGTTCTTTTTCCTCTTTCCACTACACAAACTACTACTCCCTAAGCTTTATCAAAGCAAGCAAAGTTGTTGTTATGACCATTGCATTCCTTTTGCTATAAGAGACCTCATTTCTGTCCCATTCAGCAGAACAAGGAATTTAGGTGTTATGAATGGAGAGAGATTCCCAGTTAGAGAGACAAACACAGTTCACTTCTGTTTGCTCTGCCCTAATAATGTGAACAACCTCAGAGTTCTGTTTCCACCTGTCCCATGAATTTTCCACGTTTTTGAGAAAAGTAGAATGAGGAAAAAAAAAGTGCAAGTGTGCTCAGAAACATTACTATATAAACAAGAAAAATCTGTTTCATGTGTGTTGTGGTTTAACCTCAGATGGCAACTCAGTACTACTCACTCCCTCACTCATGGGATCAGGGACAGAATCAGATGAGTAAAAATGGAAAAAAAAAAACTCATCTGTTGAGATAGAGACAGATTAATAGCTAAAGCAAAAGCCACACATGCCAGCAAAGTAAAGCAAGGACTTAACTCACTCCTCCCACAGGCAGGCTGGTGTTCAGCCATCCCCAGGAGAGCCAGGCTCCATCACACATAGCAGTTACTTGGGAAGACAAAATGTCATCCCTCCAAACATCCCCCTTCCTTCTTCCCCCAGCTCTGTATGCTTAGCAGGATGCCATAGGCATGGAATATTCCTTTGGTCAGTTGGGGTCAGCTGTCCCAGCTCTGTCCCCTCCCAGCTCTTTGTGCACCCTCAGTCTCCTCCCTAGCGGGGCAGTACAAGAAGGCCTTGATGCTGTCCAAGCCCTGCTCAGCAATAATAGAAACATCTCTGTGTTATCAACCCTGTTTCCAGCACAAATCTAAAACAGCCCCAAAACAGCTACTGTGAAGAAAATTTACTCTATCCCAGCCAAAAACCATCACAACGTGAAAATTCCAGAAAGGCTTCCTATAAAAAGCTGGGATTTTACCAGCTGAATTTTCTTCATGAATTTGCACACAAATGCAAGCATTCTATTACTACTTAATAACAGACTGTGATGATTAGCAATGGAGAACAGAAGTAGTGGAGTCGAGGAAAGCATTTTTATGAATGCAGAGTGTAGGGAACTGTTTTGCTGGTGTCATCTCAGTGCAAAAATGAATGATACCTCCAAGTCAGCCCTGCTGATCATAGTAATACATTCTGCTACAGGAAAGATGAGAACAAGAAATCTTCCTCACAGTTTCATGCAGGTGTTTGATTTCATGTCTGCTGATTTGTCACTCCTACACGCCCTGTTCAGAACACTTACCATCCTGCTTGGTTTCACTGAGCTCCAAAATACTCCAGTTGCTGACTAAGGCAAATCATCCTAAGAAAATAGACAAGAATCTGATAGCTTCCCTTTGGAAGACAAGTTAAAGAGAAAACACTGTTAGAAATTGCCATCTAATAAAATGTTAAACAGTGATTCTTTCCATGCCTTTGTGCTGAAGTGCTCCCCTTTATGCTTATTTGTCAGAAAAGAAACCAGACTAATGGTGTTCTCAGAAATTAATGCTTGGGCACATGGTCCTATTCTTTCCTGGTTGCATTAGAGGTGCCAATTTTTCATTGTGAAGCAGAAAGAAAATGTTATATTCAGAATGTTTTCAGTAACACATGCTTCCACCATCAGTTTTTCTTGCCTTGACTTTTATGTAGTAGTAAAGTAGAAAAAGCTTCTTCTGATTACAGTGCAGATACATTGCTGGTTTCTCTCGTGGTGAAAGAGTGTGCCATCATTCTGCATTTGAATATCATGGCTGGAGTCTGGTAGCATTACAATAGTCAGAAACATTAATGGCAATAGGAAATTGCATGCACAGTGCTTTAGTTTGTGCATCTGTGTGCTGCTTACCTTACAAGAAACAGACTTCATGAAATTCACTAGACAAGCTGGGCATGTTCTCATGCTGCTGCACTTCTCCCAAAACAAAACACCACTTGGCACCACCAAAAGAAGGTGATCCCTCTTGCTATAGTGGGACTTGGATGTGAAGGCAGCATAATATCAGTCAAAATGGTTTTAGCTCTATAAGAACTGCTTGGTATGTGGCAAAACAAGACAATTTAAAGAATTTCCCACCTCCATATAAAGAAGTGTTCATCCCTGATATATAAAGTTTGTCTCAGATAGAAAGTAAAAGTAAGCAGAATTTTAGGCATGTCAAACTCATACTTGTATTATAAAAAATTACCCTTATTCACAGGTACTACTTCTAAGCTTTTGGCATAGCCAGAGAAGTTCAGACTTACCTTTTTATTTTAATGGATTAATGGTTTTAGATTTCAATTGTCTTTTTGCAGAAAGATTAGACAAAGTACAAATACTAACCAAGTTTGGGTAATGACAAGAACTCTATGTTTCACTGCCTGGCACAATTACTGTTCTCTGAAAGAAGCAACAGTGCTCAGGTACTTCACATACCTTTCAAAGATGCATCTTACATACATTTTGGAACTTATCTTCTCTGAAGATCACCTGAAGGTTTTCTAGAAACTGGGTCTAGGGCACAAAAATTTGGTTTAGGCTTATTTTATCCTCCCCAGACTGGGACAAGTAGTATGCTTGCTGTTCCAACTGTTGCTGTGGTTCACATTCCAACCACACACATAAGGACAGTACTTAAAATGAGAGTTACTACAATTCCTTACTGGGTAACCAAGGGCAAGGAAAATGCAACAAGCATTTTAAATACCTATACTCACAGAATGAAATGCATAATCAGCGGGGTTTTTTTTCTCTTTTAAGGTTGCTTCTGATGCCAGAAGGAAAGCATAATTTACACCTGCGTTTTGCAAAGGACTTCAACAGAGAAGTGGAAAATTTCCTACGCTGACATGAACTGTAAAGCAAGTCAGAGGTGCTTAGCCCTTGCCTTGGTTAGGAATTTTGGTTGGAATTTCCATTGCAATGGAGTTATAGGTAGGTTTGAGTCATGTAAGAAAAACATTAAACATATTTGCATGAAAAGCATATGTCTTAAGAACATGTAAGCCTCAGCGATCAGAGCATACCACTGTAGTGCAAGATTTCTGACATGTCTTTAAACTTACTTGTTGCCACCCAGGCTGAACAGCTGTTCTTTGCCCAATAGAGATGTTAAGAAAGACAGAAACCATGACCTTGAATACATGCCTTTATGTGCTCTTAATATTAAAGGACAAAAACATTGTAAGAATTAGGATTCAAAACTGTTACACTGAGAAATCTGGCAAAGTCACAAAAGCTGAGAGGATAATTGGGTACATAGTTTCTAGAAAACATGCTTCACCACCACTATCAGAAGTCATTCAGATGCATGCCTGCTTTACAGAAGTTCCTTTGATACCGGGCAGCTTAAGCCTCATCCTCCTCTCCCTCCTCTTCAAACTCGCCCTGCTCATCAGCAGTGGCATCCTGGTATTGCTGGTACTCGGAGACCAGGTCGTTCATGTTGCTCTCGGCCTCCGTGAACTCCATTTCATCCATGCCCTCGCCGGTGTACCAGTGCAAGAAGGCCTTGCGGCGGAACATGGCCGTGAACTGCTCCGAGATCCTCTTGAAGAGCTCCTGGATGGCCGTGCTGTTGCCGATGAAGGTGGCCGACATCTTGAGGCCGCGCGGGGGGATGTCGCAGACGGCCGTCTTGACGTTGTTGGGGATCCACTCCACAAAGTAGCTGCTGTTCTTGTTCTGCACGTTGAGCATCTGCTCGTCCACCTCCTTCATGGACATGCGGCCCCGGAAGATGGCGGCCACCGTCAGGTAGCGGCCGTGGCGGGGGTCGCAGGCGGCCATCATGTTCTTGGAGTCGAACATCTGCTGCGTCAGCTCGGGCACCGTCAGGGCGCGGTACTGCTGGCTGCCGCGGCTGGTCAGCGGGGCGAAGCCCGGCATGAAGAAGTGCAGCCGCGGGAAAGGCACCATGTTGACGGCCAGCTTGCGCAGGTCGGCGTTCAGCTGGCCGGGGAAGCGAAGGCAGGTGGTCACGCCGCTCATGGTGGCCGACACCAGGTGGTTGAGGTCCCCGTAGGTGGGAGTGGTCAGCTTCAGGGTGCGGAAGCAAATGTCATACAGGGCCTCGTTGTCGATGCAGTAGGTCTCGTCCGTGTTCTCCACCAGCTGGTGCACGGAGAGGGTGGCGTTGTAGGGCTCCACCACCGTGTCCGACACCTTGGGCGAGGGCATCACGCTGAAGGTGTTCATGATGCGGTCGGGGTACTCCTCGCGGATCTTGCTGATCAGGAGGGTGCCCATGCCGGAGCCCGTGCCTCCGCCCAGCGAGTGGGTCAGCTGGAAGCCCTGGAGGCAGTCGCAGCTCTCCGACTCCTTCCTCACCACGTCCAGCACAGAGTCCACCAGCTCGGCGCCTTCCGTGTAGTGCCCCTTGGCCCAGTTGTTGCCAGCCCCGCTCTGACCTGCGGGCCAGACCACAAGCCACGTGCCACATCAGAGCCCCGGGGACAGACACGGGTGATGCCACTGCCCCTTCCCTCTGGGCCCCTCCCCTCTCTCCATCTCCACTCTGCCATGGGGATTCAGGCTCCCCAGGGTCCCTTGCATACTCGCTCCGAGCCTTTTCTGTGTGTGGAGTTCCAGGAACTCCTCCGTGCCACGGTCACTCACCAAAGACAAAGTTGTCGGGACGGAAGATCTGTCCAAAGGGGCCGGAGCGCACGGAGTCCATGGTGCCGGGTTCCAGGTCCACGAGGATGGCACGGGGGACATACTTGTTACCTGTGGGGGGAACCAGCAGCAGCAGCAGCAGGGTTACAGCCCTGCAGCAGGCAGCCGATGTCACAGGAGCCCTGCTGGGCTCCCTTCCACCTCCCTGCATTTCTCTGGAGAGACACTGTCACAATCAAGAGTACCGTGTTATCAGAGCCTTTCTGAGAACAAAGATCTCTTAGAGGAGTCGCTGGCAGATGACAGCACTTGTTCAGGGATATTTCCAGCCTCAATGAGCTGTCATGGCTGCCCCATTTATTTGAGGACATCTGAGCAAGCAGGCACTTACCAGCAGCTTCATTGTAGTACACGTTGATCCTCTCCAGCTGCAGCTCACTGTCCCCGTGGTAGCTGCCCGTGGGATCAATGCCGTGCTCATCGCTGATGACCTCCCAGAACTAAAGGAAATTTTTGAAAAATGGCAATTAGCCATTTCCAGTGCCAGTGGAAACAGCTGGCCAGTGCCAATCACACACCCCCGGTGCATCCCATGCATTCCGCGGCCCTGACCACTCCCTCGCATGGCAGAGCAGCTGCCGGGTGGGAAGGTGAGTCAGTGCACAAGGGCTTCGCTGGCCGCAGCAGCTGAACTAGCAAGAGGCTGACAAGCAGCCATAGCCCTGAAGTGCAAGTTAAGTCCTTTGTAGCTTGTATCCAAAGGGTAGCCATCTCTGGCTATATCAATTTGTCATCCTCCCATTGTCTAGCATTGGCTTAAGACCCTGTAGCCTCTACAAGATGGCAACACCCGCACACGTTCAGCGGGGACGGTGTGTGGCACTGGAACACTCCCGTTCCCTCCCTCGGCAGCCGGCGCCGTGGCCGCAGAGGGCGAGGCAGCGCGGGCAGGCCGGGCACGCCGGACGGCAGCGCGGGCATATCCCTGCCCCGCCCGGCCCCGCGGCACCTCCGAGCGGCACGGACCGGCACAGGGGCAGGAGCCACGACGCCTCAGCAAAGCCCGGGTCGCTTTTCATTTCGGGAAGCGCCACCCGCGGGTGCGACCTGTGGGAGCGCCCCGCTTCCTTGCCCGTCCGTACCTTGGCGCCGATCTGGTTGCCGCACTGCCCGGCCTGGATGTGCACGATCTCACGCATGGTGCCGGTGCCCGAAGCCGCCCCCGCCGCTGTTACCGCCTCGTTCCACGCCGCTCCCGCACTCGCAGCTGCGGCGGCCGCGCCCCTCGTTGCCCCTTAAATGGGGCGGCGCGCTCCGCCCCGCCGGTGACGTGCGGCGGGAATGGCGGGGTGCGGGGCGGGCCCGGCATTGTCTCCCGCGCCCCGCTCGGGCTCCGCGTCCGCCTCCGGCTCCGGCCCGGGCTGCGAGGGGCAGGCTGAGGGCTCGTCCGCATGCTGAGCGCCGCTGCCTTGGGGTGCCGGGGGAACTTCCCTTCAGCCGTCGGGGAAAAGGCCGGGATCGCATACGACGTGGCTTATCTTGGAGTGAAAAAGTGAAAAAGAAAACAAAACCGCCTAACTCGTCTTTGCACACCTGTTGGAACTCGTGCCCTTGCTTCCTTCGCCTCTACTACGCCACAGCAGCAAAGCACGTGCTGCTATGTTTTATTAGTACCCTCAAGCCTGTATTCCTAGCTCAGGCCTGCTTAATTATGTTTCAATATGTTTGAAGCACAAGCATAATTTTTCCGTAGCTCAGGCACCTGAAACAAGCAAAGATTGGATGGTGATGTTCAAGCCCACAGCCAGTTTCAAGCAGAGAACTCTGTTTTAGATAGTGCTGCTAAACCTGTATACAAGAGGCTCTAATTTCAGGAACACAGAGGGCTGGCATAAAATTTTATGCTGCTGTTAAAGAATGGCTTTTTCTGGGAGTTGTCCAGCAGAGATAGCAGTTTACCACATACAGGAATGGAATATGTCTATTTTTTTGAAAGTGAAGTTGTCTTCTTTGTTACCAGACACCTGCCACATCTCATTTTGGAAAACTTTGAATCCTGCTAGTAGCATCTCTGGTTGATCTCTTGTAGAAAAACAAAAACAAAAACAAAGACAAAAACAAACAAAACCAAAAAACCAACAAAAACTGAGAAAAGTACATGGTGGATGACCAAGGAAGGAGGAGCAGTTCAAGGACAACAAGGAGAATATAATTGAACCAACTAACCAACTCTGATACACAATGATATCTGCACTGCTGCCAAGGAGAGAAACAAATTTCAGCAGGGTCTATAACTGATTGTGCAGAAACTATTGAACTTGATTGTGAAATAGTACTTGATTCACAACTCTAAATTTTTTTTAGAAGTGAAAGTAGCTTTGCTCCCCATCTGGCCGCCCTGTTGAGGACAGCTTTACACTAGCACCAGGGAAGGGAGATGACAGCCCACAGTGAAGCAAGGATTAGGTTGGTAAAGAGGAAGCAAAACAATGTGCCTTGTGTTCAGCATAATGGAACTGGAGAGAGTTCACCTTAAGAACAACATAAAAGCACCAAGGGGACAGCCTGGTAGTGCAAGCTCTAAAACTTTCCCAAGTATCAACAGGCTCAGCATAGTTTACATTGTTTATTTTGTGCAGGCTTTTGAAATGTCTCCTATGACATCCCTGTAGGCTAGTTGATGAGGTATGGCCTAGATAAATGGACAGTGAGATGGAGTGAAAACTGGCTGAGCTGCCAAGCTGAAGGGCTTGACATCAGCAACATGAAATTCATGTTGAAGCCAGGCACTGGTGCTGTACTCCAGTGGCTGATCCCTGGCCAACACCATTTAACTGCTTCATTAGTGAGTTTAATGGCAAGAGAGTGCACCCTCAGCAAGTTTGCTGATGATACAAAACTGGGAGGATGGTCTGACACACCAGGGGATTGTGCTGCCAATCCAGAGTGACCACAGTAGGCCGGAGAAATGGAGAAATGGATGGCTGACAGGAACCTCATGCAGTTTAAAAAAGGGAAGTGCAAAGTCCTGTAGCTGGAAAGGAACAACCCACTCACTGAACCAGTACATGCTGGGGACCACCCAGATGGGAAGGAGCTTTCCTCCAGGCCAAAAACAGCCTGGAGGTCCTGGTGGACACCAAGTTGAACATGAGTGAGCAGTGTGCCCTAACAGCAAGGGTTGTCCAGCAGCATCCTTGTTAAAGGAGGACTGTTACCAGCAGGTCATGGAAGGAGATAAACTGTGGTGAGATGCATCTGGAGTTTTACATCCAGTTCTGGGCTCCCTAATATAAGAGAGAGATGGCCATTTTGGAGTGAGTCCAATGGAAGGCCATGAAGGCAGTTAAGGAAGTGGAGCATCTGTCACACACAGTGGCTGAGAGCTGGGACCAGTTTTCCTAGAGAAGGCTCAGGGGATTCT